AAGGTGCAAGCGGAATAATTTCATGTAACAAGCACACAGATTCTTAATTCTAAGCATCTTTTATACAGGAGTATTGGACCTTCATAAGCATTCTTGTTTGCTAATTGGTTATAAGGGAGTGACGCAAGGAGTTCTTTACTGAGCATGTCTCTATACCTGTGTTTTAGCTATGTATCTCATTTCCATACATGTATGTTTCATTAGCATACTTTCTCCCCACCTAGGGGTGTGAATCTTAATATTTAAATCAGCTCTTTGCCCTACTCCACTAATTCTATTTTTGTTTTCAAGTCTCCTTTATCTAAGACTGTCTTCTCCTTATCATTGCAATTGAGCATTAGTTACAGAACAGAGACTTTTGCTTGGGCTATGTGTAGTGGTTTCTAGGTCAAACCTGACAAAGGGTTTATCCATTTTAATTCCTGAGGTTTGTTTGTTTGTTTACATGGTACATTATATAATTTTGCAGATTTCAATACTTATGCCATATTATCTTTATTTCTCTTCTTACATCCTTCAGCTCCACCTCATCGACAGCAGTGTGCTACAGTTATTCTTGGGATTCTCTGTCTGGTTTTGTTGATAGCAACAGGAGTTTTGAGTTACTATGGTAAGTTGAGGGTGAAGGATCCACAGCAGATGTGACAGGAGTTCTTGTAATGTTTTGGAAGGGCAAGGTAGTGTTTTCTGATGGCTCTAGGAGGAGAATGCAATGCTATATTATTTGCACTATGTCACTGAAACACTAAATGTCTGTGTGGGGTACATGCAAGATGAAACAGAAGTTGGGACCTGGCAAATGGGGGAGGCTTACCTGGATCATGAGCTGTGTGGAAGCTTTTTGGCTTACATGTTCTTGCAATGATTTTCTTTAATAAGTGCCTTCCGCTTCAGGATGAACCATGACCCCTAAACAGAGCAGAGACTTGGCACCAGAGTAGAACAGTATTTGGATACCAAATAACACAGAGCCACAGGCCTCCAAATCCCTACTTTGATTTGGGGAATTAGATATGTTCAATGTGGAACTGAGAATCAAGATGAGCTGATTGGAAAATGGCTGGTAGGGTGGAAGTGAGCCAAGGTGCTGGTGTCCATCTCCATAGCACCAGACAATGAGAAAGAGACCACTAGAATGCCCTGCTGGCACAATTTCTATGTACTCTACGTCAATGCTGTTAGCTGGAGCCATTTCATAGTCCTCTCAGACCTTCTGGACACTCCTGCCCACAGTTCTGGCATCTAGGAGGCAATGTCATATACCGAGCTTTGCTCCTGGACTGTAACCCCATCTCTGCCCCTGACACTGATGAAGTGACCTCACTGTACCATGTCTTTTTTCTCCATCTGTGATAAAAGTGTACAGAAAGACTGATATTTTTCACAGGAGAAAGGGTGCATCATTTTTTTTTTTTAATCCAGAAATGTTTTGAGTCACTTCAATATTAAAATGCACAAGCATAGGACAGGGAAGATGGCACAGTGCTTGTTAGAGCTGTATTTCTTTCACCTGTGTAACAGGCTCTGCCACTTCCAGCAGGACTGGCACCTCCTCATGGCCACTCTAATCCCATCCCTCCCACTCAGGTCTCACCTGGGTACCCCCTGCCCTTTCCTGCTGTGCCTTCATGGTTACTCTTCACTATGGGAGCTTGTCTCCAGAGAACCAGAATAGTGATCCTGGGTGCCCTGTCCCGCATCATCTCTCAGGCTCTGACAGCCTGGTCTTGGTGCCCAGGGGACCTGGAAGGCTTCCAGTTCTGCAAAAATCCAAGCCCCTCTGTGGGGCTTCTACAGTGGTCTCATTTCCTCCCCTTCAGCCACTCCCAGGCCTCCCAGCCTAAACCGTGACATGGAGCAAATCCCAAACACAATCATGTGCAGCTGGCAGGCTTCCTCTGAGCTCTCCTGGGCTTCTGCTCCACTCTGCTGGCTTTTCCCAGATCAGGTCCTCCTTGGCCCCCAGTCTCCCATATTGCTTGTCTGTTCAGCGCAGGGAACTCCTCCAGCCGGCACAGCCAGAGTCAGTCTCCAGTTCCCTGCAATGCTTCTATCTGAGCTCCTACATCCAGCTCTGCCCAGATGAGACTGCCCTTCTCTGCCTCTGTAGCTGTGCTTGTTTAGCCAAACTTGGGCAGATTTAGCATTTTGAAAAGTGGGATGCAGATGGAGGGGCACATCATAACATAGAAAACAACACATATGTTTCTCCAGTTAAGGATAAACTAGAAGCTGTGCTAATACGCTAGGGGCCTGGGGCTGTATTACCCAGTTTAAGGTTGAAGCAAACAGACATAACTTCATTGGAGTGAGTTACAAACTATCTGAAGGGATATGAAATCGGAGCTTTATTAGGAGGAGCAGTTAAGAGACGAAAGAATAGGAACACAAATGCTAGTACAAGTGGTGGAATATGAGGCACATTAAAAAGAAGAGAGGGTTATTAACACCCGTGGGGAAAAAAAAAATAGAAAGGATCAGGTAGCTTATAATGAGTCATGAAATCAAGTGACTCGCTCAGCACTGCCTGACTACAAATGCTACTGCCACTCCCAGGCATTTGGTTTTAAATTGATTGGTGCAGGGATCAAAGGGAGGAGCAAGTGCACAATGCACTTGCCCTGGATATGCTCCTGTAGCTCACAGCCTGCCACAGTTGTGGCACAGCTGTCAATCTCTCTCTCTCTCTCTCAGTAACAGGGTAGGGTCCCCTTTACAACCCGTTGTCCCCATTGCTGGTTGCCCAGGTTGCACTACATCTCCAAGGTGCATCTACTGTCCTTTGACCTCCATGATGCCCCAAGCATCTCAGTCAGAGGGTTGAGAGCAGTGTGTGGAAAGAGACATAAGGTGAGCTGGGTGTACCTAGATGAAGGGGAGGAGAGATGGCCAGTAGGTACATAAATATTAAATGCCCCAGATCCTTGTGGCACCCCACTTAGATGAAGACTAGGGCCAAACTAACTGGACAGAAAATATTTCACTGTGGTTCATCCAGCCAAAATGCTGTGATGTTTCCAGATTCATAAAGCTGGAAACCAGCATGTTCATACTTACAGAAAGTGCTAGTTTTGCAGCACATGCATTTACCATTTGAAATAATTTCTGTATACAATTCCCAGCTGGGTTTGATAGTCACTCTACAATTGCAGCAGCTGGGGACATGCCCCGTTACTGTTGTAGCCTGCCCTGGGTCACACTGGACAGGAGCAGTGACATTATGACCCAAATGTTTGAGGATACAATTGCATCGTGGTTTGCAATACTAGATTCTATCTGCTTCCACATTGTGTGTGATCACCAAATGCCTAGCTTTTTGTTGTTTTCTTTTGAAGAGGGATTGACTTTCCCTTCTGCAAAAAAAACCCAAACAAACGGTAGTTTTGAAATGTTTTTGGTTGAAATGAGGGGATGAAGCCCAGAGCTGGACCATCCTAGAGAAATGAAATTCCTCAGCAGGTTTTGTTTTGGTTTCTTTTGTTTTCTTTTCTTTAAACCTTGAACGCTCCAGGAGTCTTAGATCTATGACTGCCCTGCTCAAGGAAGACATTGGAAAGTATAGAAATTGTCACACCCTTGACCCAATGCTTCTCTCAACGGAGACAGAGGGTCTGGGCCACCCCTTAGACCTCCGTATAAGTGAACAGGCAGACAGGTAGAAAAGTGAGCTAGCAGGAGACCTGGCAGGTTTCAATTGCAGTTCTATTAGGGATCCAATACATATGATGTCGAAATTTGAAGTGTTCTATTGAGAAATCATCATTATTTCCCTCAGTGGAAAAAATGCTCTATTGGAAGATTCAAGCAGTAACTGTGGGTTCTTTAGTATTATCAGGTCCTTTTTGTCACTGTAATCAGAGAATGTCAGATCTGTGAAACTCTACTGTAACACTGCTGTGGTCTTCTGAAGTTTTAGTTATGGAGCTCAGCCCAGGAAAGGGAAACAGCAGTGAGCAGCCGCCATCCTGCCGAAGCCAGCAGCCAGGCCTTCCCGAAATGCCAGATGAACAGCCTGGTGATACAGGTAAATGATAGAATAGCAGGAGATGTACATTCAAGTAAGATCCAGACCTATCTGGGACACTGTCCTTCTACCGCAGAGTGTTGCCTCACCCTCTGAAACATGTTGATGTTGAAGAAGAAAAAGAATCATAGAAAATTATCGTGGGAAAGGACCTCCTTAGTTTATCTAGTCCAACCCCCTGCCTGAGGCAGCAGCATCCCTATCCAAACCAGCCTATACAAATCCCTTGTCTAACCTCTTAGGAAAACTAGGCAGACAACGATGACACAACCACTAGGCATAATACCTTAACCTGCCACAGCAGGGCTATAGCAGCCAATGTCCTGCTTCTCTAAATGTTGTTTAGATGTGCTCAAGCAATCCCAGAAAGAGGGCTATGCCCCCAATTACAAAGGAAGGCAACCCCCTTGCCAGAGTCCATACCCATCTTCCTTCCTGACCCCAGATATGGTGATCAGTCTGACCCTGAGAGGAGGGGCAAGACCCTCTAGCCAGGAACCTCCAGCTTTAAGTCCCAGCAGGACCACTTGCACATTGCAGTCCAAATCCTCAGCCTTGGTTGCAGCCAACAGCCAATGACTCTGAGGAAGGTATAGAAAAACCCCGACTCATATAGGAAACAGGGATGGGGAGGCAGGGGAGGAATTCCCTCCCAGCCTAATACAGGAACCAGAAAAGCCCAGAAACATGGGAAATACCCATAGCAGAATCTAGGCCTAGCCATGCCTCCATCATCCCTGACCAGTGGTTGTGCGATTTCTCCTTGAATGCCTCCAGTGACAGAGCGTCTACAACTCCCCTCAACAGTATATTCCACTTCCTCACTATCCTAACAGTCAAGAACTTTTTTTTCTGGATATCTGATCTAAACCTACTTTGCTGCAATTTCAAGCCATTGGTCTGAATCCTTCTCTTTGCAGCAAGAGAGAAAACATGCATTCCCCCTCCTTGTGGCAGCCTTTCAGGTATTTCAATATGGCTGTCAGGTCCCCCTTTAATGCCTTTCCCACAGGCTAAACACGCCTAGCTCCTTCAGCGTTTCCAGGCATGGCTTCCTTCCCAAACCCTTTATCATCTTTGTCACCAGCCTTTGGACCCTCTCTACCTTCTCCACATCCGTTTGAAAGCATAGAGCCCAAAGCTGCACACACTACTCTAGAGCAGGCCTAACCAGTGTCAAGTACAGGCACTATCACTTCCCATGTCTTCGACCTAATGTTTCTACTGAGACATCCCAAGCTGCATTTGCCTTCTGTGAAGCTGCATCACACTGCAGAATCAGACTGAGTCTGTGATCTGCCAAGACTCCCGGATCCTGCTCCATACTGCTGCCATCCACCTAGGTGTCACCCATTTTATTTTTGTGTTTTTGGTTATTTTTCTGAGGTGCAGCAACTTGCATTTCTCAGCATTGAACATAATCTTTTTAGAAACATGAGGCTATTCAGCCTGCAGAAGAGAAGGCTAAGGGGGAACTTGGTGGCACGCTATAAGTAGATAAGGGGTGTGCCCCAGGATCTGGGAGAACAGTTGTTCACAAGAGCGCCCTAAGGGATAGCAAGGTCTAACCACCACAAATTTCTGGAAGGTTGATTTAGATTGGACATAAGGAAAGTCTTCTTTACAGTCCAAGTGTCCCAGATGTGGTGCAAGCACCTACTCTGGACTCATTTAAGAGGTGTTTGGATACTTATCCTGTTGGGACATTTGACCCCAGCAGACTTACTGCCTGTGGCAGGGGCCTGCCCTCGATGATCTAGCGAGGTCCCTTCCCCCGCTAATGTCTATGACATTTATGAAGCTGCAGCCCAGCTTTCCAGTCTTTTGAGACTGGATCCTTTTCCTTTGTATCTCCTGTCCTCCAGTATGTTCACAAATCTCACAGAGATATTGCATTGCGGCCCCACTTGCAGGAAGAAGTGAGGAATGGGCACTCCTCACTGTCCTGATTCACAGCCTGACTCACTCCTCTTTCCTGTTGGGTCCAGCTTGGGGTAGTCCAGGGCTTCCTTCGAGGATGAATTTCCTCCCACCTGGCCCAAGTTATGGCGCAGTCCTGGTCCTGAAGATGTCAGCAAATTTAGCAGGAGTGGCTGGGGCTTCCCTAGACACCTTCTGGCCATACACTTTCTCCCAAGGAAATGCAGATCTGTGGCTATTCAGCAAAGTGTTTCTGTGTGAGAGGGACAAAATCATGGCCACAAACTTGAACCCTTCAAACAAATGTTGGAAAAAAAATGCCAGAACTTGTTCAAAAGAAAGGATTGATATAACATAAAGGGGAAAAAAAAAATAATAAAAAAAAAAGATTTGGCCTTTAGGGCATGAGGTCTCTTTCGAAATTAAGGAAGATTAGGGGGAAAATTGATAAAAAAGGTAAAAATTCCAATGGAATACTTTCAAAATGTGGAAATATTTGAGTGACCGAAACACAGAATGAATTGGGGTTATGAGTTGATACATATCTGAAATATTAACCTTTATTCAGGATAGGAAAATGGTTTGGCCAGTCAGAAGGTTTCAGGAGATGAAAAACCACATCCCCAGGCTGCAGCAGGCATGACTGTCCTGATTTCATTTTGAGGCTGGCTCCTGTCAGTCAGGGCCTGGTGCTCTTGGCTCTTGCCCACCTCTCAGTACTCGTGTCAAGACATCATCTCCTGTCCCCAGATAGAAGGTGAAGGAAGAAGGCAGCATGAAATCCCCCCGGCGGACAGCAATGTCTCCAGCACTGGAGTGATGGGGGATGGGGTAAGCTTATCTGTAATGTGTTTGTTGCAGGGCGGAAGTGTCCAGCATGGTGGACTACTGCTGAGGGCACGTCCTATCTCTTTACTCCTGAGAAAGGAACTTGGGAACATTGTAAATCCTCCTGCATGTCTCAGTCTGCCTGGCTGCTCAGCATTGAGAACAGAAAAGAGCTGGTGAGTGCATGCTTCCTGTAACACTATATCAGTGCAAAATGTCTAGCTGAATGAGCATGCCCCTGCTCACGAGCTTTGCTGTGGGACACGTCTCAATTCTGAATTTGTTGTGGGGAAGGTGGGTGTCGGTGGCTGGGCACAGGTTGCCTCAGTGTGAGGTTAGCCAGCAAGGAGTCCCTGTGCTGAGGCACCCTGTGCCCCAGCCAGCCAGGTAGTGGTGTGGGGAGACAGGGGAGCTGGTAGCCCAGAGCTATCTGCTTCCCCATCTTGAGGCTCACTGCCTCCCAGCCATCCAGAGAGCAGCTGGCTGGAGTGCAGGGTTCCCCAGTGACTGGGCTTTAGCAGCACATGGACATGGAGGAGTAGGCAACCCTCACATCTTCTCATGTGTCCTGGCAAACAGCACACTGCTGTGCTTGACACTGCTTTTTTTTTCACGGTTTTTTGTTGTTGTGTTTTTTTTGTGTGTGTGTTTTTTTGGTCCTGGGAAATCCTAGTAGCAAATTTTGCCCCAGCACTGCAAATTAGCAGTGCCATACCTGGTTTAATGTGTAACACATGTGGTTTATGGCACCACAGGAGGTTTGTCTGCCACAAACTGCATGTACCCAGGTCTGGATCTGGACTCTGTGAGCAGAAAATATCCAAAGCCTCAAGGCCTGGTTCTGTAGTGCCCTCTACCTCCTCAGTTGGCCCATCCTCCATATTAGGAGCAGTGCAGGGGTCTGATTTGGCTGGGAGCTGAGCACACTATTCAATGGAAAAACTGTGGCCTAAGGAAACATCCAAGGCTGCAGTGTAACCTTTGGCAAAGCAAAGACTGGGCCCCTTGGCCATTCTCATTGGGAGTTTGGGAGAATATCATTATTTGGGCTCTTACCATCACCCTGAACTGTCTCCACACATGTTAATGGGATTTTCCTGACATCCAAAAGGTCTGGGCTGCAATTGTGAACATATCAGCCAGAACGGACTTGGTTTTTGGAGGTAAAGTGTAGGTGAGCGACCAGGTTGTAACCCTGGAAGTGAGAACCCAATATTGCCTAGAGGGGTGATCTCTGCTAGAGGGGTGATGGTCTGCACAGGTACTATATGTGGGGAACAGATACAACCCTACTAGCATTTTCAAGGCATTTGCACTCCCTGACAGATGACAGAATATACCTTCTCTCCTTCTTAGGATTTCATAAAACAAGAATTATATCAATATTATGAAGATCGTAAGAGTGTTACCTGGTACTACCCATTCTGGATTGGACTGTCATATTATCCTGGATCCAGGAAGTGGGTCTGGGAAGACAACACAGATCTCTCCTCTGGCCTGTAAGTCTGTGTCACTAGGATGACCTCACCTCTGCATCAGCGTACATCACTCGCAGCAGTATGCAGTTCACCATGGAAGTGGGAGCTTCAGACTCCACCAAACAAGTGGGGTCTTGAACTTTGCCAGAGGCTCATCTGGCAATAGACCCCACCCCCAGATCAGCCCCCCCCCGGTCTTTTGGCAAACTCCTGCTTCCCAATGCTCTTGCAGAGCTGTGGTCTGATCAAATATTTTACACATGTGAGGGACTTTTCATCTCAACTCAGCACACACTGACCTACAGTTTGTAAGCCCAGGGGAAACTAGTATGGGGCGGCCTTGGGAAGCCTGTTAGTGCAACAGCAGAGGGTAGGACTAAAGATATGACACCTCCTCATGTTACTAACATCACTTCTTTCTCTCTAAAAATGTCTGTTTTAAGATCCATAGTCGCTTTGTAAAGGGCAGCCATTTGGGATTGTGCAAGGGTTCACAGCATTTTATCATTGCTATGGGACATGAGACCATGAGAAAAGGGAGGCGGTATACTGAAGAGACACTTGGCACATGAATTTCTACTATTAATGCTGCCTGCACTCAGGTGATCTGTGGTTTACATATGAGAGTATGGAGGCTTTTCTCTCACTCATTATGGGAATGGGGACCCCTCCAGGGAAATGAATCAGCAGATAAGCAAAAATGTTCAACATGTTTCATTCCAGGAACAATTTCTGGCAGAGGGGAGATTAGGTGAGGAAGGGGTGCAGATGTCCAGAGTGTGATTTTTTAGTACATCCTGTCTTGTACAGTGCCATGGAATTGCTGGGATTCTGCGCTGGGAACATCTAGTCTCACCCAGTCACTTCTGGCCTTGAGCAGAAAAGCATCCCTGACTTTCCTTCTGTTAAATCATTGTTCAGCATTTCCCACTGTCAGTACAACCAGCACAGAGAGCCCCCAGCCCTGTGTCTTGGTATGGTGTGCTCAGGAGGACAGACATGAACCATAAACTTTGCACTTCTGTTCCAGGTTTGATCTCCAAGACCCCAGTCATCAGAATGATCAGGGCAGAGTTTGTGTCTATGTCCAAGGTGGGAAAGCTAAGCCTGGAGCCTGTGGAGAAACTCACTTCTGCATTTGTGAGAAGGAAAAAAAGTAGAGACACATTAATGGGAAAAAAGTGGGAATGCCAGCCTGAGATGCTACATAGACACAGGAAAACATAATTTCTTTCTGCCCCCTCTGGACTTTTGTGTGTGTGCCTGTTTCCTGGGTCTCCCCAGCAACAAAGCTGCCTGTGCTGGAGCCAACAGACATGTATAGGGCCCTCCTGCTTACATCCCCAGATCTCACTTTCTTGGTCCTGTGTTTTGAGCATGTGATGGCAGAAACTTGGGAAAAGAGTAAGTCCTATGAGGTAATGGTGTGTATGGCCATAAGAGCATCACAGGCCCCTGGAAATGAGAGATGGAAATATGCATGCCATCCTGCACTGACTGCCCCTGCCCAGGCACAGGTGTCCCCTGCTCTTTGCAAAGCGTACTCTGGCTGTGCCCAAGTGCCAGAGCTACAGGGCTCAGGTTTCCTTCATTCCCTTGGGGAGACTCCATGTCCTCTATATGTTATAGGAATTATACCTTGCTTCTGAAGTAAACCATTGCCCATTACCCCTGTGTCCCTCTGCATGCATAATGGGGGTGGAGAGGTCAGGAACAGGTGTGCACACCGGGCAATTCTGTTAGGCTGGTGTCATTTCAGGCTGTGAGCAGCCAGGTTTGGGGGTCACTCCAGGCCAGGAAGTCAGAAGCCAGAAGATCTGTCTGGGAAACCACGTGGAGGGTCCAGAGGGTCAGGCAGAGCACAAGATCAGGAGGCTGGGTCAGGTTTCTAGGAGGTTGGGCCAATGTCAGGTCAGCTTTCTGGTAGGTCAACTAGAGAGCAAGGTCAGGAGGCCACCTAGGTCATGTATCCAAGGAGTCCATGAGTCAGTAGCAGTACAAGCCAAGGGTGCAACAGTGTAGGTACAAGCTTGAGTCTTGTTGACTAGACACACACCCTTGCAGGTGAAGCATTTGTGTGGGAAGGAATAGAGAGTCTTTATTTTAAATAAATAAATAAAGTCTCCCACTTTATTTCTTGCCTCACCTTCTCATTGACTGGGTAATGTCGGGAGTATATAGGGCGATGGCTGCCCGTCTCTATCGAGTGAACCGCCAGGTCCGTTCTACCTGGTTTATTAGAGAACACAGTCTCAAAGTCCTTGAGTGCTGCGAGCAGCTGGTCCTTGTCCTGCGAGGGCAGATGGTCCGGCAGGCGGAGTCCCTCGATCCCTGCCTCGCCATCCCAGTCTCCATACATGACCGGCTCCTCGGGGTCCTCCGGAGTTCCCTCAACAGAGGGGACCCAGAATACCATCTCCTTTCTGTCGTAGTAGGGTTTAAGCATGTTCACGTGAATTGTCTTAGGTTTCCTACCCTTAATACCCACTACATAGGTCACATCATCCAGTCTGTCCAGGAC